AAGCCATTAACCACTGGAAGACCAGGGTGTTACACCCCCTTCCTATCCAGGCCATTTTCAGCATTCAGCGCTGCAGTACTTCGACATTTATTCCGTCATACAACGCTGTACTGAAATTCATTTTATACCGTTTTGTGGAGACAGATAGAGCTTTCTTTTGGTGGTATTCAATCACCACTGGGTTTTTATTTTTTACTATAAAACAAAAAAAGTACCCTAAAGTTTGAAAAAAAAAAAATGTTATGAAACATTACCCAATTTTTTTTTTTGGGTAAACCTAAAAAAAAGACAACAGCGGGGGCGGAGCAGGACGTCTTAAGACGCCCTCCCGCTCCTGTAAGGCTCCCGTCCGGCCGTTCAGAAAACAGCAATGGACGGGAGGTGGTTAAAGAGAACAAATTAACATTTCCATTCTTTTTTCTCGCCCTGTAAGAGTAGCTGATCAGCATTTCATTAACCATCATACAAATTTAAAAAAAATAGTGCTGATTCTTAACTACAGTACTCCATAGTAGCCAAATCACATACATGCCTGATTTCAGTAAAAGTGAATTATGATTGGTCACTTCTAGGTAAACTGTTCCTTCAAGGCAAAGTGATAACTGTCTGTAAAAAGCTCCCACCCCACTCCCCTTTCAGCAATATCCCACTGCTGCTTTCTGAAATACCAGCTATCTGGTCCTGGGAGTGTCAAAGTCACCCCCTCCATTATGCAATAGTGCTTGTTCCTAGCAATTAGCCAATGAACCCAAGCACTGTCACCTGCCCCTCATAATGGGAAGCACTAGACAGATGGAAGCGGTGAGGGAGTGTTGAAAGGGGAGTATCAATGTAATCCCTTTTTTCTTGAAAGGGCAAAGTGACATTTCCTCTAAGAAATGGCACAAGGTGTGTGAAATTACAATCGCCCGACGCTTTGTAATAAGCCTGCCTCTTCCAGCCGTGGTTTCCGGAGTCCCCTGCTCTTCTGGAGGAACCGGGACTACAGCAAAGTAGTTCAGGATAGAGAGCGGGGAGCAGAGAACGTCCGATCTCCCCTCTGTTCTGTGTGAACACAGGTAGGAACGCTGCACTTGCAGCCTTCCCATCTCAGCTGTCAAAGGAGAGCCAGCACAGTGCTGTGCTCAAACTTCAGTATAGGGGGTGACGGTTCAATAAAGAGAACCGGTCACATCCAAATGCTAGCACAGAGGCTTGTTGTTAGCTTTATTGCTATCACACAGGAGCTAAGTGGAGGGAATTTTTTTGATAAAGTAAACAAAATATTAAAAGTAAAAAATAAATAAATATTAAATGAAAACCCAATCCTGCCGCCCCCACCATCTGCATTCAAACAAATGCATGTGTAGAGTATTGTGTGTGTGCGTGCACGCATTGAGTGCTGCCCCCATTTCACTGTGTGCCACAGTGTGGGGGAAACGATAGCCACTGGCTCGCTTGTATCTAAACAGCCATCGCCGGCTGTTTACAATGATGCCAAAAAGTAGTTAGTTAAAGGGTAGGTTCACTTTTCCAAGTAATTTGGGAAAATTGAATCCCCTGCTCAAATCTGGCCCCCCCTCCCCTTGCTATACAGGTGTACTATCTGTACACCATACTGCTGCCCAGTACAGCCTTGCGCCATGGATTTTGGGAAGCTGCTCGTCAGGATGTCAAAGTGGTATGCAGAGAGGAAACGCGGGGAGGAGAGAGCAGAGACGCTGTCATCCTGTCAGTTTCGAGGTGACAGTGGATCCGTGTATCACCAAGCAGAGGATTGGTGAATATCTGTGTGCAGAGCAAACACTGGCGTGATCAGCTGATCAATCCAGTGTTTGCAAACAACTGGGGACACAGTACTATGTGTCCCCAGTTATGAACAGGAAGTGCTTTACATCACTTCCTGGTTTATTTATGGGTTTTTCAAAGGGAAGATGCACTCTGTATAGAGGCTAGCTCTCCCCCCCCCAACTGTTTTCTATTGGCCGGGACCTGCTAGAGTCTTTCGTGGACGAAATTAACACTGGTGCTTACAGTCTTTTTCGATACTTACAGAAGAAAGGTTGCCTGCGCTCGTAGTATCTGTAGTACAGCTCAGTTTTCCATGTAAATCAGTTAGATCCAGTGTATTGCTATTTTTCAGAAAAAGGTTGTATGTTTTTTGGACATCATCATAGTTCCCAGGAGCTAATGAGCCATCACAAATAAGCCCAAGCTTATCTTTGACCAAATGTTTCCACATTAACAGCACGTCACTAAGGGAAGCTGTAAATTCTTTCCCATTCTAAAATTGGGGAAAAAAAAAAAAAGGAATTAATACAAGCACAATAGCTGATCTAGAAATAGAGTGAAAAAATAATCACTCAAAAGAACAAACACTTTTTGTATTTATTTTGTTATATGCATTTATGAAGTATGAAGGTTTAATGCCAAAGGCCTCATTCACACGAGAAACGGCCGGCACATACAGCTCCGTGCACGGCCGTATAGGGCAGCTCCCGGGAAAGACAGGTGCTGTGATTAGTACGCAGCCCGTCCTTCTCTATGGGAATACGCAGCCGTAGGCCGCCCTACACTCACCTCAAGTGCAGGTCCATACGGGTGTCCCGGCTCGGACGCAGACAGGATCCATCCCATCAGCGTACGAGTACGGACGCACCGAAGTGCAGGGTGGGTGAGCGTAGGGCGGCGTACGGCTGTGTAGTCCCATAGAGAAGGACAGGGGCTGCGTAATCACATGCAGTACCGGTCCTTCCCGGGAGCTGCCCTATACGGCCGTGCATGCAGCACAGAGTTGTACGTGCCGGCTGTTTCGTGTGAATGAGGCCAAATACTTGTACAGGCCTTCTTCTGATCTACACAGTTTCTCCAGATCACAGAACCAGGAAGGGGTTACCACCATTCATTGATGTTAAAAGCTCTCTAAAACAACTCGAAAATTGTATGGAGCTTGAAAACATACTAGACTTGACAGCACTGTGCAATGTAATACAGGTAATAGAACATGTCTGTCTCACAAAGTATACACTTCCAGTGTCAAGTCTGCATCAGCTATGCAGTGGATTTTGGAAAGATAGCAAACATTTTAGACTTTTATATTCAGTATCTCAAATTATGAGAACATATATCACAATTCACATTGTTTTAAAGCCATGAAACTAATTAAAATGTCTAATATACATACACAAAAAAAAAAAAAGTTGGGAAGTCATTTTCAGTTTCAGGCTGACAAATTTTGCTGCAGGAGGTGTGATGCGGCGCTGTTCATTTCAATGGATTCCCAAATGCACCTCCCGTCACAGTGTAATCGCCTGCACTAGAATGTGTGGTACTTAGCTTGAAAACATACTAGACTTGACAGCACTGTGCAATGTAATACAGGTAATAGAACATGTCTGCCTCACAAAGTATACACTTCCAGTCAAGTCTGCATCAGCTATGCAGGGGATTTTGGAAAGATAGCAAACATTTTAGACTTTTATATTCAGTATCTCAAATTATGAGAACATATATCACAATTCACATTGTTTTAAAGCCATGAAACTAATTAAAATGTCTAATATACATACACAAAAAAAAAAAAAGTTGGGAAGTCATTTTCAGTTTCAGGCTGACAAATTTTGCTGCAGGAGGTGTGATGCGGCGCTGTTCATTTCAATGGATTCCCAAATGCACCTCCCGTCACAGTGTAATCGCCTGCACTAGAATGTGTGGTACTGCAATGCCCTGCGTTCCAGTGCAGTGCGATTTCAAAAAATGTGCATACCATTTTATTCTGAAGTAAAACTTCATGTCTGCAACTTTGCATTTGGTTATTTATTTTTTTTCCAATTGAAATTAATATTTGGCTAACTAATCGATTATAAAATAATTGTTAGCTGCAGCCCTAACCCAGAAAGGCACTGCAATAGGTACCGATAAAGCCGTGAACATACCCACTGGGCCATAGATTACCATGGCATACCTTTTTCCAACCTTCCCCCTTTTCAGCCTCATGCTTTGCTTACCTTTTTGTTCACTTCAGCCACTGCTAACTGCAAGATGAGCAGCATGTCATCTGCACTGCATATGGTGGTCCTCTCACTTTCACACAGAAGGGACCACTGCTGTCTGAAGCATTTTATCAAATCTAACACACTCTTCTGATAAGCCATCACAATCTAGAAAGAAGTGCAGAGTACAGATTAGCCAACACAAACAACAAAAGTAGAAAAATATATCTTTCAATTATCCAAAACTTTCTTATACAGTAGTTGCCAGTCTGATTGGTGCTACAGTTAGCAGAGACAAAAAAAACCTACATGCTTCAAAAAGTACACCTTCCCATCGAACATGTGAGCAGCTCTGAATTCTGGCTCTGCTCTTCAATGTGCATCGTTCAAACCATTTCGGGGACCGCGTGGCACGAAACCGCGCAGCCCCCAATATAGTTCAAGCACCATAATCCGGCGGATTCCACGCGTTCGGGGCTATGTAATAACCGCACACAAGCTGCATCAGCGCTGATTGAAAAACAGCGTTTTCGTTCCGCACAGAAAACCATGCAGGAACCGCAAACGCTATGTGTGAATGCAGCCTCAGAGAACTCCAAAAATGTGTTTTTGCTTTGGATAGAGTGAGGAACGGCTTTAACCCGTTAGGTTTTTACTGCTGTGTGCGTGTTGGGTGAGGAGGGCAAATAGAGAGTGAATCTCACCTGGAATAAAAAAAATGAGGGTAAACCGAAAATATTTTCATTGGCCCCAGGCCAAGAATAGAGGGCAACTTTGACGCAGCTGCTCGCAACCTTTTTACCAATAGAGAAACCCTTGAAATAACTTTAGGTCTCGAGGAATATGGGTGTAACGGGACACATGGTCTCAAAGGTAAATTTAGCCTTTGTTCCAACATATTCATAACAGTCACATCGATTTGGTAATTTCCTCCCAGTTGTATTAGATGTTACAGCCACTGAATCTCTGAACTTACAAAGTTTAAGAAGAAGGAGAACTATGGGGTTAAGGCTTTTCCCCATAGTTCTCCTTAGGGTAACGGGAGGACACAAACTAGCATCCTCCCATCACCCTAAGCTCAGTATACCGCAAGCTACAGCTCGCGGTATACTGAGATGCCGCAGCTGAAGCGGATCCCGACAATTATGTCTGGATCCGCCCAGCTGCGTGAGTGACAGCTGGCTCTGCCTATCTAGAGGCAGAGCCAGCTGTACACGCCCCTTCTCCCGTCCGATCCACCAGTCAGCGCTGGCGGATGGGAGCGGGGAATCGAGCTCCTCCCGTCACGGCAGAGAGCTGCGAACGCCGGTATCTGTTCGCTCACTTCTTGATCTACTGAGCCGACCTGTGACAGTCTCATTGTCACAGGTCGGCTAGAACTATGAGGTGAGTGAAAAGCACTCCTCATAGTTCCCTTTAAGGGCTCCTACAGTTGGGCATACACGCTTGCAAAAAGACCCCATACTAGAAGAAACAGGAGCTGTGTGTAATTGCGCGCAGCAGCCTGTTCTTCTCTACATGGCTGCACACAATTACATGCAGGACTTGGACACAGGTAGTGTGCAGACTCCTGAGACAGGTTACAGCGTGTAATTGCATGCAGCCGCATCCTCCCATAGGGTAGTACAGGCTGCTGCATGCAATTACATGCAGCACCTGTCCCTTCCAGGATTGGGTCTCATAGTGAATCAGCACTAAAGCTGGCCATTCACCTTACAATTATCTGCAGATTTTCTGTGGTCAGATGGAAAAGGTGCAACAGATTCCTCCGTCTACACTTAACTTTGTGGATGGAATAATCTCCACCTGGGCCAATCTGTTGCTCTTTTGCCATCTGACCACAGAAAATCTGCAGATAATTGTAAGGTGTATGGGCACCTTTAGTTTCCATTTACACACATCACCCACCCCCACATGGTGTGCACACTTGTGCACATTTTTACATGCATTGGCACAGACAAAAAATTTATTGAGCAGATCAAAATGCATTGCTGTGAATGAGGAAACATGCACACAAACAGAAATGTGCACAACACTTGTGTCACACATTTTAACGCACTTCCATTAGAGTCTATGCAGCCAAACGTGCTGTAAGCTGCCCAAAAGGAGCTCATGTACCTTTTCCAGCATTCTGCGTTTTCCAGCATGCAATAAAACTCTCAGGTGTGAATAGAAATGAATGGGATTTCTTGTCTTAGGAGCGTTGGCACACTTAACTTTGAGCATCAAAACACACAGGTGTGAACAAGGACTTCAAGCCAACTTGATTCAAACAAACCCCTTTTTTTTTTTTTTAAGTGTATTTTGCATACTCAGAGACAAACTATATTTCATATAAAAAAAAAACCACACATACAAAAACAAAAGATAACATGACTAATTTGATAAGGTGCAATTACAAATCAAGCTGGCCATACATCAGAAGAATTTTATTCAAACAAAATTTGTTTCCAGGACATTTGTTCAATTTGCTAGAAAGGTAATAGGGTCAACTCAAAACATTTTTTTCAACCATGTAATGAAAAACAATGTGAAGGAGCGGGATGGAGAATTTGAACAAAACTGTAACAGGGATTGTGGTTTTCATTAGAGAAACTCTACTCATTCCAAAATCATAATTTTAAAATACAATTTTCAAATAACATGTCATTCTCTGATGGTGTGTTGGAGATTTATGATATGAACTTTTGTATAAACCGTTACCAGTGTATGGTCAGTGTACAGGGTTGAACGGGAGCAGTTCAGCGTTGCACCCTAAGGACACAAAGCTAGGACAGACTATAAGAAGCAGGGACAGATGACATATAATAGTAAGTGCACGGAGAATTACAATAACGATAAAAGCGGTGATAGCAGGCAGCTCTCAGTAAACGAACGTGCAGGTATACAGCCTTCTATCCTGGACACTTACTATACCAGCTGGCCGTTGCACTTCCGAACACAACCGCCGCAGTTCGCCTCTCCACTTTATGTTTTGAACAGTTTAAATGCTGATCACGTGACCCGCTCTGCAGTCAATCAGTGGGCTCGACCTAACACCCGGAAGTAGAAGCCTTTGGTGACGTCACTGAGGACAGAGCTACGAATCTGCTGGCGGGAGCGGTATGTATATAGTGTGTGACAGCGATGGCCTTAGAAAGAGGTGGTGAAGTTAATTGTATGCCCGTGTTCCTGTGACTGGCTGCTGTGCACTGTATTCCTGTGGTATGGGAGTTTTACATAGACTGATGTGAACACTTTATGTGTCAAAACTGGAGCAGTTGCCCATGGCAACTGATCAGCATCTATCCTTCATTTTCAAAGCTAAACTGAAGAATGATTGATTACCATGGGCAACTGCTCCAGAGTCTCTACTCCAGTTTCCCCCCTTGAAATTGAAGCTGTCATGGGAGGTAAATAGCGGAGGCCATTGCAGACTGTAGCCGGTCATACGCCAGTAGAATTGAATCTGAAAATGTGTGTGTTCGGAACGTTTGTACTCTTAGTCTAAGGCCCCATTCACACTAAGTGACATACCTTTTGCAGCGGATCAGTGCGGCTGGGATAGCGCGACTTTTGGGGCGACGGTAGCGCGACCTTCACCGTCAGGCTCCATTAAAAAATAGAAAAGTCGCGCAAAATCCGCCGAAAAAAGGGTCCTGCTGGAGTGATGAGCGACATGGAGCTAAGACAGCTTCATTGAATAGCATTGGTCGTCGACTTCTCGTGATATTGTGCTGCAAAAATGCGCGATATCGCAACGGAAATCGCTTAGTGTGAATGGGGCCTAATGGTTAGTGGGGTCTATGACAACCTATGCTGTTTATGGAATCTTAAAGTAGTATTACATTCTCAAACTTTTTTCAACAATGAACCCAAACTGTCCTCTCCACTCCTCTTCAAAGCCTCCTGCTTTCTAGTTCTCTGGTCACCTCCTTCCACGCTCGCCTCCAGGATGTCTCCCATCCTCTGGAGCTCCCTACCCCAATCTGTCCCCTTATCTCTTACTCTGTCTACCTCTAGGCCTGGTTCACACTGAGTCTATTGTCACAGCCGAGTCAGCCTGACCAAAAGCTTCACCGAAAATAAAATCCCATTCATTCATATGGCCCCTGTGCACATCTCTAATTTTGGTAAAACAATGTACTCATTGATCTGTCTGAACGTTGAAAGAAGAACTCCTGGGGAATGTTTTATTAACCCTTGCAGTGGGGCTACCCCCACACTCCAAGGGTTAAGCGCTCATTTGTGTCTAGGTTCAAAAAAAAAGTTATATTTACCCAAGTCCTGAGCTAGCTTCTTCCCAGTCCTTCAAGTGTCTGCTCCCTCTCCTCGGCAGTCTAAGGCCCCGTAAATCATGGTGTTCAGTGTGTTTACACCGTGTATAGATGTGAGGACACCGAGGAAGATTTCAATGCTGCTGTGTAGGAGGAGACAGGTGGCTGGCTCGGAGCTTCGGGTGCATATATCTTTGTTATTTTTGCCCCAAGACACAAACGAGCACTTAACCCTTGCAGTGCAGGGGTTAAGCAAAAAAATACCTGGAGTTCTTCTTGAAGTAAATGTAATAGATTTAATTAGAGGCAGCATCAGAATGGGGGTGGAGGTTGCAGAAATAAAAAAAAAACTAAAACCTTTTACCTCTGTGATGTTAGCACAGCAAAGAGTATATTGTTCGTGCTGGAGCAAAGTAACAGTTTTGTGCTTGTAAACGAATTGCAGTTAACGTTACTTTACATGTTCAGTTCAGGTAAAACAGAAGACAATTTCAGAGGATGAAACAAGATACAACCAGACATTCCACATACACAGTGGACTGTGAAGACTATGTGCATGTGGTGGAGTTTAATCCCTTTGACTCTGGAAGCCCAGGATCATTGATTGCCTATGGTGGAAACGATTATGTAGCTATTGCTTCTTGTAGGTTTCAGGTAAGTGCACTGCCATATTATCTATTGAATTATATGGCAAAATGTACGAACTAGCTCTTAAATCTTCCAAAATGCTGTCTTGTGATTCCGTTTTGATAAATTCATAATTTCCCCTTCTACAGTAAGAACTTATAGGTAGTATAGTATACTGTATTTTTCTTTTCCCATTCTCCTCGGTGCCGATACCGAGTATTTGGGCGAGTACTCATAATCGTCCAAATGCTCTGATACCGATAGAGGGAGATCTCTGAATGGTATTCTGATGACCGCTATTATTTTACAGGGGACACTTTTGATATAAGTTAATGGTCGATAAAGCAACCATTAGGTTATAGGAGAAGGGAGCCAAGCCACTGATGTAGGGCTTACTGAGCTACAAACAGCTGGCCAGCTGGAAACAGTTGTGTTACTCTGTTACCCATCCCCTAGACAAAACAAGCATTCAATCCTTTTTTTGGGAGGGGAAACGCCTTTTTATTATTATTTTACTCTCTTTAGTTGGGTTTTACAATTCTTAGACAGTCCAGTTTTAGGGCAATTTCCTGTCAAAAAGTAAATTTTCAGGGTACAGTTTAGGCCCAATTAACATTTGGATTTCGACCCACCTGTTGAGAACCAAGGCCCTAGAAGATAACAGATGTTTACTTTTTGACTTCTGATCCAGTGTGGGGGTAGGGTTTCGTGTTTGCTGTATGTTTCTGCTATTACCGTGAAAGTGACACTAAACTCAGGTGTTAAATCTTAAAAATACATTCAAGGACCTCAACTATTGACAACACTGTATCTTATTTGTGTATCACTCAGCTGTAGATCTTTAAATCATCTCTGCAGGCCCCTTTTACACCATGTCCGGACCAGATCTGCACGCGTTTCTGCAATCGTGGTGCGTTTGTGACGGGTTCCAGTGTGTGTTTTTTAGGGGGTAATGTCATTAGGCAAATTAAGCTCTTCCTGCTCCATTTCATAGCTTCTGTTGCATTCCGGTGCAGTGCATTTGTGACACGTTTGTGGTGCGTTCCAGTGCAGGAAAAATGTGACATGCAGCTTTTTTTTTTCCTGCTCTGGAAGGACTGGGCTAGTGTGAACAGAGCCCAAACATCACATACAAATGCATTTTTGGTGCAGAAGAAAAATGTAGTGTACCGCATCTGATCTGGACGTGGTCCGAATGGGTCCTGAATTGGTGCTGATTCTGTCCTTTCTTCTATTGTTCCCCATGGTCCTTGTGTGTGTTGTAAAGTAGCCACCGCTCCAAGCTCACTTTCATGATGGACTACAATCTCAATACAAATTAGTAAACTAATGTGAGATTGTATTCCATCATGGGAGCGGGCTTGGACATTTAAGATGAAACTGAGATTGTGGAAAATTTGCATGTATTTGTGCAGTTGGCCACACAATGTTTACAGCTTGCTATTTTGTGACTCAAGAATTGTTATTGACATTGGTAGCTCAGTGAATTGTACAAGTGCAGCCTGGACCATAAATGTGTGTACTTTGTTCTCATTGGAACTAATAAAATACCATTCAAAAATGCAATCACTATGAACACAGTGCAGCCAATACACTACAAATTGTCTGGTCAGAAAAACAAAGTGGCACCCTATGAATCTCAACAAGTTTTGGTTCTGTAAACTATGGATTGTATTGTAAAAGATGAAATGGCGGATTCTGTTGGATTATGGTAAGAGCTATATTTATTTCTCTATAATCCATTTTAATCACATCCCTGCCAGGCGTATTTAATGGCTAATCAACAGCACTGACTGGACATTGGCTTTAACCCTTTCACTGCCACCAATGTATGTCATATGTCGCTGGCAGCAGACCCCTTTATACAGACTCCCGACAGCCAGAGCTGCCGGGGACTTTGTTTTTATGTGTAAAGCCGACTGTTGGCTCTACACTAGAAGCAATTCTGTCGCCTTAATTGCTGCCAGATCACGTCCAGGGGACGGTGAGGTGCTATAAGCCCCCCTATGTGATAGCACAAAAGTAAAGTAAACAGTAAAAAAGTTTTAATAAAATACATTTTAAAGGCCCTCACGTATTAACATAAACATGCGTCAGGTGCGCCTACGTAGGAAAACGACGGTCGCTGTGTGCACCAGAATGAGAGCAGTAATTTTAGGGTCAATATTCACAGATATTTCTAAACTGGTGACCTGTATGGGCTTTTAAAATGTTGCCTATGGACAATTTGGGGTACCGTATTTTTGTCGCCGTTTCACGGACACATGCAATTTTTAACCACGGCATGTTGGGTATCTGTTTACTCATTGTAACCTCAACTTTTATATTTTACCAAAACATTGGATAATATTAGGGATATACCGATACTAGTATTGGTGCTGATACTAGTATCGGTATTGGTGCTGATACTGGGCATTTTCATGAGTGCTTGTACTCGTGAAAATGCCCTGATACCAAAGGCCAATATCGGCACTTTAAATCTGTTATCAGGAGCGGCTGCCTGAGGTTCCGCGCTTCCTAGGGGCTTCAGGCAGCTTGCTGGGGACTTCAGGCAGCCTGCTGGAGAGCTTGAGGTGGCTGTCTTTTACAGAGCTGGTCCTGCCCCACATCTCACGGAGCGCCCTGTTGAGGCGGACACACCGCACGGAGCGCCCTGTTGAGGCGGACACACCGCACGGAGCGCCCTGTTGAGGCGGACACACCGCACGGAGCGCCCTGTTGAGGCGGACACACCGCACGGAGCGCCCTGTTGAGGCGGACACACCGCACGGAGCGCCCTGTTGAGGCGGACACACCGCACGGAGCGCCCTGGTGAGACCCGGCACATGCTCCTTAGACCTCGCACAGCCCTGGTGAGACCCCTCACACCCTCCTGAGATGCTGCACAGCCCTGGTGAGCAACACAGAGTATGTAGCTTCATGATATTCTGAATTTCTGTATAATGTATTGCTGGTATTTGTAGTCCTCTATAGCTGATAGTGTTTTGCATTGCTGTATAATGGATTGCTGGGATTTGTAGTCCTCTATAGCTGGTGAAATTATGCATTTGTAGTCCCTCTACAGCTTCGAGTCAGTGGCAGAACTACTAGGGTCACAGCGGTTGAAGCTGTAACTGGGCCTTGGTGCTCCACCACTGTCCTAAAATCATCAGTCTTTGCGTTCAGAAAATATATAATGCCTGGGGGTTTTAAGTACTTTTCAGGCCTAAAATATGGATTATAACATGTGTGCGGAAAAAGGCCTTGGCAGGAAAAGGGTTAAATTAACAGTTCTGTCTTATTATAATCTCGTCCTCCAGCTCAAGTTCAATGCAGAATCTTAAGTGGTTCTTACTGCTTTCCCCACCATGGACACTGAAGCCCAGTACTGAGCTTTTGTGGATACACTTTCATTATGTGTCTAACAAGAACTACAGCAGACACATCGGGTTCAATTTTTTCTAGCTCCATTAAATGGCTTGTGACAGCCATTCCAAGGGGGAAGGGAACATTAGACAGACATGGGGTGAGGGAGGTTGAAGTTCAGGCTAAGCAGGTGACCTTTCGCAAAGGTAACATGAGATGTTGGCCTTGACCCCAAGTTGTTACAAGATAGAGTAGTAAAAGGTGTATTAAGCCAAAAGAACTTGTCTGAAATGACATATCAGTTAGAAAAATTCAATTGGAATGCAACACAATCTTCTGGTTATCTTTTAATATGACAGGCATTGTATGTGCTAGTGAAATCTCTTGTAAATTTATAAAAAGTTATATATCTGGGACCTATTAAAAAGTCAATATAATATAGGACTTTGTGTAACTGCATTGGTTATTGTGAAGTCCCAGAGCCAAGTAGAGCAAGGAGTTTCCAGAGTCTTTAACTCCTTATTCTAAAGCAGCATCAAAACTGGACCTGTGGCATGATGCTCAGATGATCATTATGAAGATAAAAATAATGCAAAAATGTCATATTTGAGGATGTGACTTTCACAAAACATTCGCTGATGGAGAACCAATCACTATATTTTTAGACCAGTGGCTCTCAACTTGTGTAAACTCAGGACCCACATCTGTCTTCTTTCATTAAGTTGCATCCCAAGTGGCACAGTACTAGAAGGCATGTTCCTTGCGGGAGTGCCATTGAAAAGAATAGCAACACACCCTCTGCACCAGAATACGTGGTATTTGCGATTGCATGTTACAGTGCATTCATCACACAAGACTGCGATTTAATGCACTGTAGTAGTGTGAACGGGCCCTCAAACACACACACATCATTTTATTTTATTTTGAGAACCACCCAGTCTCCCTGCCTTACGAGAACTGGAGTGGATCCTCAGCCTGGGGTCCACTGTGGGCTGCTGCGGTGTGATGGAGCTCCATCCATGTGTGCATTGCTTCGACAACTCCCTTGCGTGACCTGTAGAGGTACCGAGAGACAGAATGTGACGTCACTCTGGTCCAGGCACCTCTAAAGGGCACAAAAGGGAGCTGTAAGCAATGCACGTATGGATGAAGCTCCCTCGCAGCCATACTGACACTTGGCCCTGGGCAGTATATTTTGAACTGATGGCCGTGCCACACCACAACATACCACCCTAGTGGTGTGCTGACAAATCATTCATTATCTTCAACTTTCTACTTTGCAGAAAATATCACAGCCCCTTAGTTTAAAAAAAGCGATATGCACCTAAGACTTAAAGTAGAAAACCCTCCAAAGTGAGGAATGTTCACAGGGGTCAGCCGGTCTACCAGAACTAGTGCCCCTATCAAGATTTCCCATCTATTCCTGTTCTGGTGACAACCCAAAATGTCGATTTTTTTTTTTTTTTTTTTTCTTTTTTTTTTTAGTGATATTAGTCACCAACATAAAT